ACAAAGAAAACTACAAAACACTACTGCAAGAAACCCAAAGGGATCTACATAAATGGAAAAACATACCATGCTCATGGACAGAGACTCAACATAGTGAAAATGACAATTCTACCCAAAGCAATTTACAACTACAATGTAACCCTGATCCAAATACCAACAACACTCTTTAAAGAGATGGAAAAACTACTCATTAACTTTATATGGAAAGGGAGAAGCCCCGGATAAGTAAAGCACTATTGAAAAAGATGAATAAAGTAGGAGGACTCACACTACCTGACTTCAGAACCTACTATACTACTACAGTAGTCAAAATAGCCTGCTACTGGTACAAACGATAGATACGTTGACCAGTGGAACAGAATTGAGAACCCAGATGTAAATCCATCCACCTACAGTCACCTGATTCGACAAGGGTCCAAAGTCCATGAAATGGGGGAAAAGACAGTCTTTTTAACAAATGGTGCTGGCAAAATTGGATGTCCATCTGCAAAAAAATTAAACAGGACCCATGCCTCATACTGTACACAAAAAATAATTCAATTTGGATCAAAGGCCTAAATATAAAGGCAAAAACTATAAAGTTCATAGAAGAAAAAATAGGATCAACGCTAGAGGCCCTAAAACACAGCATTAACAGGATACAAACCACAACCAACAACACACAACCCCTAGAACATAAGCTAGATTACTGGGATCTTCTAAAAATGAGATACTTATACTCATCAAAAGACTTCACCAAAAGAGTAATAAGACAACCTACAGACTGGGGAAACATTTTTGGACATTACAAGTGAGACAAAGATCTGATCTCTAAAATCTGTAAGAAAATCCAACACTTCTACAACAAAAAGACAAATAATCCAATTTAAAAATAGGCAAAGGAAATGAACAGACACTTCACCAAAGAAGACATTGAAGTGGCCAACAGACACATGAGGAAATGCTCACGATCACTAGCCATTAGAGAAATGCAAATTAAAACCACAGTGATATACCATCTCACCCCAGCATTACTGGCACGAATCAAAAACGCTGGAAATAACAAATGTTGGAGAGGCTGCGGGGAGACTGGAACTCTTTTGCACTGCTGGTGGGAAAGCAAAATGATACAACCATTTTGGAAAATGATATGGTGCTTCCTTAGAAAGCTAGAAATAGAAATACCATACAATCCAGCAATTCCACTCCTAGGAATATATCTTAAAGAAATAAGAGCCATCGCACGAACAGACATATGCATACCCATGTTCATTGCAGCACT